ATAAAAATAAAATAAACTTATTAACGAAGAGAAGAATTAAATTTATTGCCTAAGTAATCATCATAAAAAAGGATGTTTGTTGTAAACATAAGAATATGATAATAGAAAAAGAACGTTACTATGGCATGCAGCTTGAAAAACATAAAAGAATTTATTTAAGAGAAAGAGGGTCTTTCGTTGCCTGTCGAAGCATGCATATGAAGAGTAAAAAAAGCTAGTAAAAATCTTTACCAGCTAGTTCTGAGATAATAATTTATTAAAGTATACACTTGAGCAGAAAGATTGTTTAGTGTTATGATTAAGGTGTAGAAATTGAACAAATAAAATTCATAACCTCTGTTCAGAAAGCTATGAATAAGTGTAATAATAGAATAAAGTGACCATTCCATGACTTCATAAAATAGTGAAAACTAAGAGGGATATATTTTTCATATATGACTAGAGTTTCGAGACTATCAGATAATCAATATAATTAGATGAATTCACCCTATTTCGTTTTAAGATGATGAAGGACTGGTAGTAGAATTTTCCCACAATGATAAGAGTAGAGAAAATATACATTTGCTTCATCGACAATCCCACCAAAGAATATGATATGGCAAAGGGCCTGGCCTTACTTAAAATTCAAATTTTCCCTGTGACCCAAGGACACTCGCAGCAATGTGGCCGAGTGATTTACGTGTCAAGCTCCCATTCTGCACTTTCATGGTTCGACTCCCGTTGGGGGTTTTGATAAGACCGATGCGAGGTCGAAACTGCAGTCCAGCCTGGATGATAACAACTTTTTGGAAAGCAAGGCTATGGTGAAATTCATTGGAAAAGTCAGCTCTAATCATATCATTGTGGGAAAATTATACTACCAGTCCTTCACCACCTTAAAACAAAATAGGGTGAATTAATCTCATGAGGGATATAAATTATAAGATAGTTTAAAGACTTCTAGAAAAGTGCCGAAATCGCATGGATAAAGTAAGCCCCTAAAACTAGGTCATGAGATATCAATGCCACTTTAATGGCATTTACGCATGGATGAAAGAAGATGTTATGAAATAAGATCGAGAAAGCCTTACTTGTAGTTGACAATATAGGGCTGCAAACCAGGCCTAAAGTTAGGTGCGACAAAACAGCCAAAGTCTTGTCCCTTGGGATTAAATGGTTTGAGTAGTAGCTGGTTATGCATCTGTCCTTGCTGCACTTGATCTCTTCTTGATTTACTACCTAAAGGTAAAGGTTTCATGACGGCTGCTGGCAGAGTTGACGAGTTCTCAGACGTGGTTGCTGCCGCTTCAGTTGCAAATGCTAGTACTGGTGTTAGATGCAATGAAGAAAGCGATGAGGATCCTGATGGCAACACAGACAAAGCGGAAGCATGGTTATTTGGGATCGAATACTGAATAGGTGTTTTGGTCGAGCAAGGTTGACCGATTGGTCCCGTAGTGGTTGAAGATCGACAGTAGGCCGGCGCTAGACGGCTACTGCATAAGCAGGTAGCCGGCGGGGTTTTAGCCTCATGAGCAGATGTCTGGATGAAAGACGTGCCAGAAATCCTGGCCAGGGGCCGATTACTAATAATTGACTTGGCTAAGCCAGCAGCAGAAGAGGCACACCTCGCGCTGCCAGGTGGTAAAACGACGCGATTTCGGCCTGTAGCTAAAATCTGCTTGCCTATTGTTTCCTTTGTCGTTTGGGCGTGTAGGCCTTGCGGATGATTGTGTTTACTGGAGCCAACATGACTAGAAGTAGAAGAGAAACGCATAAGCCCACTAACTAGGCTCGAAAAACGGTCACGTTGATTGTATCGATATCGGGGTCTAGAGGGGCGCAAGTCATTGCCAATCACATTATCTATCCCCCTTGTTGTTTCTACTCCATCCATGTGTTTCTGGGAAGAGTGTATCGTTGGAACATTAATAGGCTTAAAGTCGAATATGGGAGGTAATATCATTCGGAGCCAGGGCAGTCCGGCTATCGGGTCACTCTGCACTGTGACTGTGCTGCTCAGAGACTCGTTCCTCATTAGCGGATCGGCTAAACTGCCCAAAGTAGCCTTCGATGTTGATGAGTCGGCAAGAGAGCCTTTGGGATCATTTGCCCAGAATGGCGTTTCAATGCCTACAAGGCTAGAGCTGTCGTCCTTGCTCCTGATGTCATCATGGCCGATTAGGTTGCCCAAACTGCATGGCTCAGAGAGTTCGATGGCAAACTTCCTTTTACCAAGCAGGAATAATGCATTATTGTGGGCTTCCCCATCCCTTAATGTAGGTAAAATGCCTTCGCTGTCAGATGAGGGATGGGATGAAAGAGCAGAAGGCAGAATTGCAGGTTGTGAGGCAGAATGAACGGGAGAAGCGTGGGAGAGTGGG